ATCTCTCCTTACATTAGATGCTGAACTCTTTCTCTTTTGTATAAATTCCTGACAGAACCTGGTTGGCTCAGTTTATCACTTTCATCATTCTGGTCATGTTCCTGTAACATTTGGTTGACTTCCAAACTTCTGACCAAAGTAAAGATAGACTTTCCTTGACTCAGGGAGCGCCAAGCTCCTTCATCTGGGTCCAGGGAAACACAAAATGGATAATGTTAAGATTCTCCTAGGGCCATTTTCCTTAAAGGTTTGAGGAACCTCCTAATGTGGGTGTGGATATGTGTGAAGCTAGGACCCAAGAGATGGAATCCATGAAGTGCGGTTGTTTCCCCTTTTTATAGTTCTTTCAGTGATGGAATGTAGGTGGGAAGGCCTGAAGGGTGGGGCACAGGTGGACCAAAGAAGTAATCTTCATTAACATTTCTTTGGGATGGGCTCTGGGCCTTGGACTTTCCCTGGGCTTCATTAACATTCCAAGAGTTGTCCTGCATCTCCCGGGATTAATTCTCAACATGGCCTCCATTTTGGATCTTACTCGATATTAGACCCAATTTACCTAACTACACTGACTACCTAACTTTAAATCAGGCTTCAAAGTGACAGATTTATCCTGATAATTTCAGATTGGCACTTTAGGCTCTCTTTTAAATAATTGATAATAACTGGGCTCACTAAGGAAGAACTGAAAATCAGGAAGAGTCCAATCCAAATTGAAGAACTTACCTCTGGTGAAGGCAAGAGATTGTTATTATTTTAATAATGCCAAAATTCACTGAACATCCCTGTATTATGATGTCCTGCTTAATGCCAAAATTAAATTTGTACTTTACCCAGAACTTGTAGAACATATTTAAATGGAATCAGCATTGCTGCTATTGGCTACTTTATCTAATGACCCTAATAATTTTCAAAGTAGCCATTGAAAAACCAGCCTCTACCTCAGAGCAAAGCCTGTCCAAGAAAGGGGTGTGACCCTTGTCCTTGGAAAGACCCACAGAGCACTCCTAGGCACATAGCAACCCTGCTGAGTTGTTTATATACAAATAAAGGAGAGATCTGAGGAGCCAGGTGTCCCAGACTCAGGCTAAGTGAGGACCCATAGCAACCCCCTAGAAACCACCAATCAGCATGAGACAGGGAAAATACCTGGGATGCCAGATGACCCTCCCAGTAGTTTTTGATGGTTGATAACATATTGCGAAACCATGTAGTTCAGCACGTACACCCCTCATGGTTTAAACCAATCAATTCAAACGAATCCCCCTTTTGTACTAACCAATCACCCTTACCCAACTTGTTCCCGCCAGTGAATGTGCTAATCATGTTTTAGAGTTGTTTTATGATTTTCCTGCCGTGTATGATGATTTGCTAAGAGATGCTATGATGTATGTGAAGTCCCTGCCTTCCCCAAAGAGTGTAAAACTGCTGCAAACCCTGGGCTCGGGGCCTCTCAGTGTCAACAATTGTTGTGTGTGCTGAGGACCAAGCTAGCTCGCAATAAACACCTCTTTGCTGTTTACATCGATCATGGTCTCTGGTGGTCTTTTGGGGGTCCTGAATTCGAGCATAACACCATAAATAAATGCTCTCTTTAAGTCCAATCACAAATTTGGGTCTTAGAATACAAGATAGTAAAAAGCAGAGTTTAATTTGGGTTTATTCTTCAAGTTAACTGATCAATTGTTGATAATAAAAGGATAGTGATAAAGTTGTTATTTTGAATAATTTCAGGTCTCCTTTTAATATCTATACTGTCTAGTTTTAGATTTAGATTAAGTTTCTTCTTGGTAAGGCATAGATCTTATAACCATTAGCCAAGGGCTCTTTCTTTTCTTTTTTTGGTACCAGGGATTTAACCCAGGGGCACCACTGAGCCACATCCTTAGCCCTTTTAAAATTTAGACATAGGGTCTTGTTGAGTTGCTTAGGGCCTCACTAAATTGTTGAGGCTGGCTTTGAACTCCTGATCCTCCTGCCTAGCCTCCCTAGCTGCTGGGATTATAGGCATGCACAACCATGCCTGGCTCTTTTTAATTTTTTTAAAGTAAAACGTGCCCTCACTTCAAATTGTGCCTACAAAAAAGAATCAAGTGAAAAATTTTAATAAGTTATCAGCCTGTTAGTGTTATGCTCAAATTCGGGACCCCCAAAAGACCACCAGAGACCAAGATCGATGTAAGCAGCAAAGAGGTGTTTATTGCTAGCTAGCTCCGTCCTCCAGGCGCACACACAGCAACTGGTGACGCTGAGAGGCCCCAGAGTCCAGGGTTTGCATCAGTTTTAAACATTCTTTGGAGAAGGCAGGGACCCCCACATACATCATAGCATCTCTTAGCAAATCATCACACACCGCGGGAAAATCAAATAATAACTCTAAAACATGATTAGCATTCACTGGCGGGAGAACAAGTTGGGTAGGGGTGATTGGTTACTGTTACCGCTGTTGACCGGTGACGAGTCCTTGCTTCCCCAATGTTGAAGTATAACACCAGAGAAGCACGCCGAGGCAAGGTCAGAGTGGAAAATAGAAGTTTATTAAAGGACAGCAGAAAAGACTTCTCCCAGAGGAAGGGGACCCAAGAGATGGAATCCATGGAAGTGTGGTTGTCTCTCCATTTTATAGTTTCTTCAGTGATGGAATGTAGGTGGGAAGGCCCAAAGGGTGGGGCACAGGTGGGCCAAAGAAGTAATCTTCATTAACATTTCTTTGGGATAGGCTCTGGGCCTTGGGCTTTTCCGGGACTTCATTAACATTCCAAGAGTTGTTCTGCTTTTCCCCAGAATTCATTCTCAACATGGCCTCCATTTTGAATCTTACTCGATATTAGACCTGATTTACCTAACTACACTGACTACCTAACTTTAAATCTGGCTTCACTACAACATCCTTACAAAATATCTATAAGTTGGGACATATGCTGTGCAGAAGTTTATTTCACCTTTCAAACTAAGTGTTCAATGGTGTTTGGTGATTTCTAAAAAAGGTAAAAGCATTATTTCTCCAAGTACCCCCTCTTTATAAAAAGAAACCCAGAATTGCCCACGTGTATTTGTGTATCCTTATATTCTTATAAAATAAAATCCAATATAGTTGACTGCAAAGCAAGACTTAAGAATGCTACTAACTATTTTTAGGATTTTGTTTTGATACTCATGTCGGCAGAGGATTATATAATTATATGTGTTCATAGTTTAATTTAGAAGAGATAAAGCAGATGTAGCGGCAGTGAAGAGTTCATTTTCATGAAGATACCAGCAGATGTCAGCAAAAACTAGGGTGTTACATGAGTTTTACACAAAAAAATTAACCTATTTGTAGTAGGGTAACCATAATGCAAGTAGAAATCTCTAATAACCAAGTTCAGTCCAGATAAGACACTTTTTTTACATTGTGACTCAATTTGTAATTACCTTTCTGGAGATGGGGCAGGTGGTGGTGTGAGAGGCCAGAGTGGGATCTAATTTTTCAGGACAGCAATAGCTTTTTTAAGGACTGAACTATATTTAAAACATCACCACCATATAATAAAACAAACCACACTTTAGACAGGCAACTTCAATTAAAATATAATCAAATAAATCAGATCTCATACTACCCAGACATTCCATGTTCAGGTATTCTGAACACAGAATTTGTGAGTACATGAATATTTATTTTTTCCTGTGGAAATAGTCCATACATTTCATCAGCTTCCCCCATGGGTCTCTGACTTCTGTAAAGAATGATGCTAAAACTTATTAAATGTATAGATATATTTTTATTAACAAATCACTATGTATGTGTCAAAATTCACTTGTTCAAAATTATTGGCTGGACTCTAGGTCAAGAGAGCATTTTTAGAATAGAGTGTCAAGTTGTAGAACAGCTTGTTATATAGAATTAGACATATTTTAAAAACAGAAAAATTCTATGTATTATATCCCAAAGGTTAATAGCTATATTCTTACATGTAATTGTAAAAAGTTGGAATAAGGTCACAAGGGATGACATTCATTTTATTCAAATATATACAAGCACTTTTCCTTTAATATTTGTGACCAGCATTTTATAAGACCAATGTTTGAGTGGCTTTACATTAAATTCTCTACAGAATCTTTATAAAGCATAAGAGTGTATATAACTTTTATTTGCTTTTTAGATGAATATATAGTAATTTAATGCTTAACATTTTGTAGTATAAAAGGGATCTAGATGATTTCATTATATTCTATATTTGTAATCTGGATTAAAAATAGTAAGTGAACCTGTGATGTTATTTAAAAAAAAAAAAAAGTACAACTCTTATCTGGGCCCCTAAGTAGGAATGCAGAATACTAGCAAAATTGTTCCAAGTAACTTGCCTTTTAATCATTACTGTCTTTGAAAAGTAACAGACCTATTTGAATGAATGCTGAAATACAGCCATTTAAAACTTAAGTCATTTATTCCAGAGATATATTCTGTTTTTTTATAATTTTTTTCCCAATATCTTTATTTTTAAGTGGTGCTAAGGATTGAACCTAGTACCTCATAGATATGTGTGAGGCAGGTGTTCTACCACTGAGCGACAGCCCCAGTCCTTATAATTTTTTTAAACATTTTTTTTAGTTATAGGTGGACATAATATCTTTATATTTTTCATGGTGCTGAGGACAGAACTCAGTGTCTCACGCATGCTAGGTGAGCGCTCTACCTCTGAGCAACAATCCCAGCCCTATATCCTGTTTGAAGCAAAGAGAAAGTGTAAGATTATCTCTCTCTGAAGAGTCTAAGCAATGTACAATCTAACTTATACTTAGAAATCCCTCCAAAAAACAAAACAAAACAAAAAACTAAGTTCTAATGATCCTAATTGGAATCTGTTTGTATCCTCTATAACAAAATATTTTCTTCATTCAGAAAAAGTTAACAATCTAACACCTGATTTAAAGTTAAACTATTCCTTTTGCCAGTGCTCAGTTCAAACATAGATAAGGAATTGACAAGTAACTGTACTAATAATTAGGTCAAAGAAAAATTATAACTTCAAAATGACATTTAATTTCAAAGTAGAAAATGACATTGTATCAAAGTAAAAACAGTGATTTAAGAGAGCATAAAAAAAACAAAAAACAAACAAAAAACTCCAGTGGACAATTTAAACTGGCTATAGAAATTTAGTTTCAACAGCTACAAAATATTTCAAATTGCCAAAAGTTCATTCAATTAACTGAGGTATCGTATTTGGAGAAAACAAAAACTCACCTTACAATTTTCTAGGTGGAAGGAGCCGTTAGACAAAATGGTGGGTAAATGTCTTAAAAAAACAAAGTGCAGAAGTATCATTGTCCCATCCTCTGAGCAGCACCCGCACAAACTCCACACCACAGTTCAATCTATTTCCAAAAAATCTTATTTATATCCTGTTCTAACCACTATTTCTCCTTTTTGTCACTATCATTCCCTTAAGAAATAGTTTTTGATCTCTTAATCCTCATCAGTCATCTTATACAATTTCAATAATAGATATAATGTATGTTTATGTATATTCATGTTTTATACATAAAAAGAATATTTTTCTCCCACAAAGAATACACCGTATAAATAATGAAAGTTTTATGGTACTAATATTTATTTTTATTTAAGTTGGGAGAAAATAAATATATTTTAGTACTTAGATATATAGATTATTTTCAAAATAGCTCATAGTGTCAGTAGTATCAAAATCAGTTTTCTCTGAAGGAGGCACTGTTTCCAGCTATAGGCAGTCCTCATTTACATGATAGTATGGGACTATAAAGATGTCCAAGCAAAGCAATCCCAATGATCAATAAGGAAAATTACGATTATTCTATGACCTTTAAAAACCTGTAGGAGTATTAAACACTCTCAACTGCCAGTTATAAATGTAGATGAAAATGAAAGTTTAAACAGTGAGAGTGAGAGTTTTACTTTACTGTAAAATACTAATCAGGAGTACTTTTAACACAGCTTGCCTTCTCTAACTTATAATGCTGAGTCAGCATCTCCTATACTCCAGCAACTTATGTACTTTTTAAGTTGGGATCAGCTTCCACCATTTATTATTGTTTGTGCTTTCTATGTTGTGACCTATTCCTGTGTTAACAATAAATATTCTTTAATGTGAAAGTTTTGCCATTACTTCTCCATCACAACTGCTTTCCTCACTTATGTTGGTAAGTTTGTTTAGCAAGACTCAGCTAGTCATTGTACAGCAACTGTATCTAAACACCCAGAATCAGTGACATTTTTTTAAAACTCCACTTATGTTCAAATTATTACTTTCAGCATTATTATTGTTCACTTCTTTGCTTCATTTTCAATCTTAGATGGCCAATTTTTTTGATTATCCACTTTTATAAAATGTCACATTGGGTGATGACAATGTAACTATACGCTTTGCTGTAGATGAACTAAATACATACGTTCAAGGACCAATCACAAGCAGAATTTGAAAAAAGATAACATAATTGGTCACTGACTATAAAGCACACCTGTTACTTAATAATTTCTGGACAAAGGTGCTAATACTTCACAAGATGAACAGCTGATATGCTACCCTAACTGAATGTGAACCATGCTATTAGGAGGCTGTTGTTATTTAACTAAATTATGGTCACTGAAATTTGTGCCTATGGGAACCACACAAACTGAGGACTGCCCACACCCTTCTTAACATTGACCCAGACAGGCTTAAAAGTGACTACTGAGAAACAACTCATATAAATTTACATCAAATAATGAACTTAAAGAAACCCAAATGAAACATTAGCATACATACACTTTGGTAGTTTTCAAATTTTTGTTATTTGACCATCATGCTTAAAATGTACCTTAAGAGTAACAGAATTTTAGAAATAGAGGAACTTTAGACTCCAGTGGTTTGATATTGCAAATTATCCTGCATGTTTATTATGAATTATTTCTCCTCCTTCAATTTCTATTTGCTCATATAGCCACTTGCGATCACAGCGACATTCAGCTCCACACTTGGTAGAACCACAGGCAGGACAAGCATAGAAACATCCTAAGCAATCTTCATCCAGGCAGTCACAGAGGTCCATCCCACTGAAAATCAAGAGCCCTTGGCTATCATAGACCTTACTCTTTGCTGGTATCACTTGTCTGTAAAATAAAATGTAATGAATTATACCTCATGAATATATTACTTTTGAATATTTAACTGAAAATAGGATAATGAAAAAATTTAAGGACATTAAGTATTTTGAATTAGGGATAAGGTCCTGCTAAAGTAGTATGTAATTTACCAGGCTTACAGCCAATTCTACAAACAGTAAGTGACAGGAGGTGCTAAGAATTGAATCTAGAACCTTGTGTGTACTAGGCAAGCACTCTTCCACTCAGCTATATCTCCATTTCCCTGAAGTTCATTTAAAAGTCAGTTCAACGAAGGAACAGACAAGAACTTTGTCCCAGATCATATGTAAATTTCTGCTAAAATTATTTTCCTTTAAAGAAAAAATAATGGCTAGTTAATAGTGGTTTACTTTATTGGTTATCAGTCTCTTCACTACTTTGTGAACATAGTTTGTAGTATATCAAACTATAAGTTTTTATACTGTAGTCAATGTAAAACTTTAACAAATGGAATAAATGGAATACACAAAAATGTTAATTGCATTTAATTCTGAATGATTACACTTTATATTTTAGAAATAGTGAAATTTCTGAATGATTATATTTTAGAAATAGTGAAATAATATTTTAAATAATTTAGTTCTCCCATTCTTTTTGTTCACTGTACCAGAACTGTTTCTATTTCAGCCCCATGAAAAACAGGTAAAAAATGAAAAGCAAATTCTCATAAAATTGAATTACCTTTTAGCTATCACTCATAGAGAGAGATATACCAATAAGATAATATCATTAGGGCTTTTCACAAAGTGAATTACTTTAAGTCTCCTTCAATATCTTAACCCTCATGTCAAAATGTTACCTTTTCACATCATTGCTACTTTCTTGGAAACAAACTTTTAGAGTTGAAAGGGATGCTTTAATTTTCTATGAATAAACCCCAAGGTCCTTGGAGGTTTTTTACCAATTCCACATTATTCAACTTAAAATGTCTACTCAGAAAATTTAATAGAAAATAAAGGAACAATGCAGACGTGAAGCAGTAAGTTAGAATATGAGTAAATGCATAGAATACCTGTCTGAACCAGCAGTTGCATTTTTGGTAAGCCTTCTTTTTTCTCTTTTACCAGTTTCTGGAGCAAATTCAGTTTGCTTTCCTGGGTTTGTAAACTGTAGTGACCTCAAAGCTTTAGCAGTTCTTCCCTGAATAAAGACAAGCAAATTATCCATTAAAATATTGTCATTAGAAAATAAATAAATACTTCTCTTAGTATTGACCCAGATTTATTTCTTAACCTGGAACACAGAAAAAAGATTAGGACCCAAGTGCAAGAAAATTCACTTAGTCCTTGAGTATGTTAAAACTTTTTTATTAATGACATTTCCATTATGTGATTTTAGTCTCCAGCAATTAGGTGTAGAGGCAGGCTGGCATGGTGACAACTGCAATGGCTGCTGGTACATGGGAACAAAGGCAAAAAAACTGCTATAACCCAATGGCACAAAACTGAGCTTCCTGATAACAACTTTGGGTCCTTAGGAAAGTTTCTAGTATTAAGATGAGAGAAGCAATATGGTTTCAAGTTCTGAAATAGTATGATATTTTTAAATAGCTTCGATAAAACAAAATTTTGGTGCCTAAGGGCTTATATTTGTTATTTGAGGAACTGAAAGTAAATGGTCTTTCAAAATGTTTGCATTTACCCTGAATCACCCTTGGGTGATAAAGATAGTGGATTTAGGAAAAGAATAACACAATAACACAAGAGCAATGTACACATAAGATGAAGACATCTGAAGTTACAGTTATCAACAAGTATCAATAATGAACTGCAGATAAAAATGGCTTGTAGAGATGTGCCTTAGAACAAAAGGAAAACAATACATATAATTCATATAATTAAAAAGTTTAGTTATCTTTTGTCTTATGAACATAATGAAAAAGGGGAAATTCAAAAAAATATTCCAGCAGCAAGAATTATAAAATGGCTGTAAATAAAAATTTTGAGACATACTCTTAATATACTTGTCACATGCTATGGTTTGGCTATAAGATGTCCCTGTTAAAGCTCCTGTGTTAATGCAGGAATGCCCAGAAGTGAAATAATTAGATTATGAGAGCTATAACATGATTAATTCATCCTAGTGGTGACTTTAGACAGTGGGAAGTAGCTGGAGAAGTTAGGTCACAGGGGCTTGCTTGGAAGGGTCCATCTTTCCTGCAGCCCCACCCTGTTCTCTGCTTCCTGGCTGCCATGAGGAGAGTAGCTTTCTTCTGCCATCTCCTTCCACCATGACTTTCTGCCTTATCTTGGGTCCATAGCAACGGACTCAACTTCCTATGGATTAAACCTCTAAAAATATGAATCCAAAATTAACTTTTCCTCCTCTACGGTGTCCTTGTCAGGTATTTTGGTCACAGTGACAAAAAGCTAACACATCACAGGATAGAAAAAGTATTACTATACGTACATCTGATTCAGGTTTTCTTCTCTGGCGGTCTTCAGAATCAATATCCACACTTCCGTTGATTATCTGTGTACATTTTGGACAAAGTTTCCAACCAGGTACAAGCTGTCTTCCAAATTTTGCACTCAGAAAAGTGGCATCATCTAAGTCAATTACATGCAAATTTTTTTTGGCTAGCTTTTTGTGTATGTTAAATGGATCACAACATGACTTCTGCAAATCTTCAAATCTGTCAATGTAAATTTTTACATGATGGAAGCAAATTGTATTGTTTCCAGAAAGTGTCATTCCAGTTCTAAGTTGAAGTAAAAGCATATCATTTGATGATAATTCTTGTAAAGTCTTGAAACCTGTGTGACGAGTATAGTATGTTTTATGGCACTCATTTGTGGTACGAAGCTGTACTCCAACTGAACATGGATCCATCATTCTTGACTCTTGCAAACTTTCCCTGTTTTATTTTGTCTAGAGATCTTTCTTTAGTAGGTCATGTGATGATTACCCTAGAAAAAACATTAAAGACAGATTTGTTTTGTAAACTATTTTACCTGGAAAACCAAAAAGAAAAAAAATTGATAAAATTCAGTATTTGTTTCAAAAAAAGAAAATCTCTCATCAAATTAAGAATTGGTAAGTATTCTACCAGAATCCTACAATAAACAGTATTATCTTTAATCATCAGATGTCAGAAACATTCCTTGTAAGATCAAAACTACACATAATATCTGCTATCACAGCTTCTATGTAAGATAATATTAAAATGTATAAGGATTAAAATGCAAGATACAAGAAGTATTATTTGAAGATGACACAAATATCTACATGGGAAATATAAGAGGTTCAACAGACAAACAATTAGAACCAGTAAGAGAATTTAGTAGAGATGATGGAAACCAAAACCACTTATAAAATACCTTCCAAAATATATAAATCTCACAAAAGATACGCAAGATCTTTATGGAGAAAATTATCCAAACTGAAAGACAAAAAAGACAATATAACTAAATAAAGCTACAAATCATGGGAAGCTTGACTATAGTAAAATATGCCAATTCTCTGAGAATCCATATATAAATTCAATGCTCTTCCAATCAAAATTCCATCAGATATTCTTCTACCCCTAACCTGATGCAAACTAGCTGACCTATATGAAAGACCAAAGGTCAAAATACAAACCCAAAAAGCAACCCCCCCCCCAAAAAAAAAACCCCCAGAAGAACAAAGGTTCAAAAGGGAAATAAAACAAGATATTGATTTATTATAAAGCTGTTATAATTTAAACTGTGTGGTACTGCTATAGTATAGATAAATAGATCCATGAATAGATGAGTGCTTGATGTATAACAAGCGGTACTATAAATCTTTGGCACTTTCTGCGCCATGCAATAATTATTTATCCTTCAAGACACCACCAGCCTCTTCTATCTCCTGCAGCCTTACTCAAATACTATTGTTAAAGGCTTCCTTCCTGTGTTTCCATAACACTTTCATTGTACTGAAACTTTTTCTCTACTACCTTTCAGATGGCAGACAAGAACATGATGATGTCATTTTCTCTATCAACCAATGTCAAAAATTAACTTTAAGAACTTAATTTTTCATAGCAATATCATATGCTTTTTTTTTTTTTTTTGTCACTTGTTAATCTTTTATACATTTGGGTCTGTGAGGGCAAGAAATCCCCTGGGGCCTTTTCAGAGTTGTGGCTTCTCTAATTAGCACAACACTGGGACTTAACAGACACTTAACAACCTCTTTAGAATGAGTTCAGAAACTCCCAGAATCTCAAATCAGGAAGGCTGAATCTCCCTTAAATCAATGAGACTAGGTCCAAGGATCCTACAATTATTCTTATCTTAAACCTATAACGGTCCCATACAAAATGCCCCTCGTTAATGGTTATATCAAAATGATTCAAATAAGCAGATACGTCCAATGACCACCTACTACGTTCATGGTGCCAGGAGGAAAGAAAAAATTTTTTACTTGGTTTCTGGCTTCAAGCAAACTGTTAAGGGTGAGAGATTTCTGATTTAAAAATAAATACAAGCAAGGAAAGACATAAACTGCATACAGGGTTCGAGGCCACAAAAATTCTAAGTAGCTCGATCCTAAATTAAGAACTTAGAGGGCTCCGGGCCTCCCCCAGAGAGGCGACAGCCGCAGAGGAGACACAAGTGGCGGAAACTGCGCTGGGCTTTTACCCAAAAGGTCGCAGATGAACCCGGGGAAGAGCTGGGGGACCCACAGGACGGGAGGCTGCTGTAGAGCTCGGGGGAACCACGGGATGGGAGGCTGGGGCAGGCCCCAGCCGGCAGCTGGAAACCCCCCTCACCAGCGAGGGCCTCCGCTACCAACTCCTTAGACACCTGGAGGCCCTCGGGCTCCTTCCCCACTTAGGGACCGGTCTCCACGTTCGCGCACCTCCAGAGCCACCCCCAGCTCCCTTCCACCTTAGCTGGAGTTTTCCGCGGGGTACCGGCAGCACCACATACAGGAAGGCCTCACTCGGTTGCCCGCCTTCCAGGTCGTCTTCGCGCTACCACAGAGAAGACGGTGCGCGCCGGCTAGAGAGGCCCAGCGCCACCATCAAGAGAGGCCCGAGAGAAGCCTAGAGTGGAACCCCGCCTGGTCGCCTCCGGGAGTGAAAAGGACTCAGTGGCCGGAGTTGGTAAATGACTCAACGCGAGGCAATAGTTGCTTCAGACGCTGACTGGTATTTACCGTCTCCTCTCGGTTAGGGAATTGGGCGATCTCTAGGGTTCAACTGTTACGAGACACAGGTTCTGCTAATTTTAATTGCCTTCAAATCTCTCTGCCTGTGCACGATACCAAACTTTTGCTCCCAGATACCCCTAACCCCTGAAGGGAGTGAATGCGTTAAAAGCACCTCAAGAACGAGCCTTTGATTTAAGGTCACACATTTTATTTTGCTTCTTTCAGGCAAACGAAATATTCTATTTTTTTAAAATAATGAACTACGAAATAGCTATTATTTTGAGTAAAATTTAGCCTCCAGTAATTTTCTAAGGGAAGAAATGGTCTCCTTGTATCTCTATTGTCTGCCACACGTAGGCGCTCATTAATTTTTAAATCGGACTTTATTCACCTGCATTCATCTAGTGCTCCATGCTCCCTTCTCTTCTTCCTCTCCCCCTCCCTCTTTCTTTTTCAAAGGCATAGACGGAGGTTTATTTAGGAAAGTAGATACATATTCAAGGGAGAATGGGGGCAATCTCAAGAGAGATGCCTTTGGGGTAAAATAAGGTATGCACATTCAAGAGAGCATGCTGGCTCTCTCTAGGGGGACAGACAGCAACCCAGTGATGTGGGGGTACTAACATCTATAGAGGGCTGGTTGTTAGGGCCTGGACTAGAGGTAGAGGCAGAGTGGAGCGGCATGATTTCACGCCAGTTTTCTCTGCACTTGAACATTGGGTGCTTCTAGACTCAGTATATCTTTCTGTCCCAAATTCCTAATTCACCGCAGCCCCAGACATTGATCCCTTAATCTGAAGGGTTGGTGAGCGAGAAAGATCCATCTTCTGTGATTGCTTTAGGGGGGCATGTGTAATGAACCTGCCTCCTTAGAGATCAAAGATCTCATCCTGACTAATCTGAAAGAAAAAGACACTGGTCTCAGTGTGGGATGAGTTCGAATTCTTGTGTTGCCATCCTCCTAACATAGTATTCTTGTAAATTTTGGAAGATACAAACTCTATTAGAAGATTAAAAAGGCAAGGGCTGAGCAATAGGAGCAGAAGTATAGTTACCACAGGTTCTAATAGCAGTTATGGTCAGGTAAGGCTATGCAGGTAATCTTTAATAGTTTTTATTTGCCTGTATACATCTCAGGATCTGGATTCCCCCCCCCCCCCCCAAAAAAAAAGCATGTCCATCAAATCAGACAAATTAACTTAGGGCAAACTTATTTTAGCAGAGTCTCTTTTGATAGTTATCAGACACCCATGCATAAGGCTTAATGTCTTTTCCACTGAAGGTTTGTGATCTTTTAACCATAATGATGTGGGCATAAGAGGTCAACAAAACCCAAAAACTATTGCTATTTTAATCTGCAAGTGAATGACATGGGACAGGCAAATAAGGTCCACCATAGCCCATGCTTGCTTGTAATTTCATATATTTACTGTAAATTGTTTTCTAAAGTGAGTTTATGGTTCTTTCCAACACTTTCATCTTTCATACTCCTCCTCAGCTAAGCAGGATTTTGACACTGGCTGTATTATACCAATCTTAGAATTAGGGGATGGGAGAAAGGCAAAAACCATGGGTAATCCCCTTAACTGATTTGGATAGTTCTTTTGCTGGTTACTTTGTGGTTGGCACTTTGCTAAGTAATACTGACTATAAATGAATAAAATGTATTCCTGCTCCCAAGGAGTTCAAAGATTAGTGAGTGAGGAATAAATTGTTAATTACAATGTGATTTGATAAGTGCTATAATAAAAGCATAGGGATATGAACAGGATAAAATAGGAGATACTAATATGCAAGGACATTCTGTGGGGGGAAGGGATTAATGCTTGAATTAAATTGTCATATGGGAAATGAACTTGATGCAATGGTGGCCTCTAGGTGAACACTAGGATAGCTAACCCAGTGGTGTAAAACAGCAGGCTCATGAGACCAAATTAAGATTTGTGAATGATATGGCTTAATGAATCAATTTAGGTATCCAATGAAAACAGTAGGAAGGAATTGTAGTAAGTTAACATGATTAGGATAGGGTACAAGTGAATGGAAGCCATCTAAATCACTGGTTAAGCAATGTTCATATGACCTGTCTGCCATCTTTGCCTTTTCCATTGAAGCTATGCTCATAAGAGCCAGAAGTGAGGTTTCAGCAATGTTATCATTTAGATGTGGTGTCCCCCAAAAGCTCACCATGTGAGACAATGCAAGAAGGTTTTGGAGAAGAAATGATTGGGTTATAGCCTTAACCTAATCAGTGGGAAAAAAAAGCCCTAAATGGATTAACTGAGTAGTAACTGGAGGCAGGTGGGGTATGGCTGGAGGAAGTGGTTCATTAGGAGAATGGCTATGGAGTATATATTTTGTATCTGGAGAGTGGAGTTTCTTTCTCTGCTTTCTGATCATCATGTGAACTGCTTCCTTCTACCACACTTTTCCACCATGATGTTCAGTCTCACCTTGAGCCCTGAGAAATGGAGCTGGTCTTCTATGGACTAAGACCTCTACAACTGTAAGCCTCCAAATAAACTTTGTCTCCTCTACAATTTTGCTGGCCGGGTCTTAAGTCACAGCAGCAAAAAAGCTGACTAAAATAAGCAAGGAGGCCTACAAGTGGAAAATGCTTTGGGCCAATGGCATGCACGTGCTGTTTGGGTAGAAAGTATGCCTGGCCACAACCAGAACTTACAAGTTAGGCTGCTGAACATTTGTTTGCATTTCTTTGGTAGAGAACATATGAGACTGTTGTGGGTTTCACCAGTGTGTCGCCAATGTAGGAGTGACACAGTTGTCAGTCTAGAGATGTCATGATTATTCATAACTTATTTTTTTCATCCCTTTGACTATAAGTGACCCTCTGTTCCATCATATTTTCTATGTATTTTAACTCTGGCATGCCTTATAGTTTACTAACTTACTATGCATATTTAACACAACTCTGCCTATGTTTCATAAAGTACATGCTTACTCATATTCTATATTTAAAACACCCTGGGAGTTTTGCATTTATCTCATAAGCTAGTAGCTTACTTACTGTCTACAGTTAACACTTTTTATGAATTTCATACATTCCTAATTAAACTGCAGAAGAATTCAGTATGGCTGGAAAGACAAGTAGAAGGCAATGCCCTTTTTATGCTTTATTATAGATACTGGATTTTATCCTGATGGACATTATAAAACCATAAGGAGTATGGAGAATGGTGGAGAGATGCAGTCCTGGACAAGGCATAGAATCCTTTCATCCTAATGTACATGACTGATAATGAGAGCTTCAGCGAACTAAATTAACTAAGGTAGTGGCTCTAAGGATGAGAGGATTTCCTTCACTCCACTCCCTGCCCCCAACAGTTGGTAACATTTGGAGACATTTTGGTTTGTACTAACCAGGGAGATGCTACTGGTATGTAGGAGGGTAAGAGCAGGGAAACTGCTGGACATCACACAATGCCACATAAACCCCCTACAACAATACTTTATTTCTGAGATTGAGAAACCCTAAACTAAAGGAATTAAGCAGGCATGAAGCAGATAGAAGTTAAGCAAAAAGAATTAGTAGGATTTTATAACTGATTAGATATCAATATTAGGAAGGAGAGGATGATTTTAGGATTCTGGTTTGGGTAACTGGGAGGACAAAAAGAGAAATGAGTTAGGGAAAATAGAGATAAAGACTTAACTGTTGGATATACTAAATTTAAGACATCCAAGTGAAGATGTGCAGTTGGCAGTTAGAAGGAAGCGTCGGGAGATAAGAGGAATCTGGCAAATATTGGTCTATGAGTAATAGTAGTTCTGTTTTGGGGGATGAGGTAGGGTAAAGAAGATGAATTAACCAAGGAATATATAGGGTCAAATGAGAAAGAATAGGACTGAAGATTAATCCAAGTTTTTGCACCTTCATTCCATTTTACTGAATCAGAATCTCTGTCTTTATTTCAGTCAGCTTTTTCAACACTGTGACCAAAAGACCTGACAACAGTTTTAGAGGGGGAAAAGTTTATTTGACGCTCACAGTTTTGTAGGTCTAGTCTATAAATATCAGCTTCATAGCTCTAGGCCTGAAGTGGGTCAGAACATTAAGTTGGATGGGTTTGAAGGAGAAAAGCAGCAAGACCTAGCAATCAGGAAGCTGAGAGAGCTCCACTCACCAGGGACAAAATATATACCCCAAAGGCATGTCTTCAGTGACCACATCCTATCTATAGTTCCCACCCAGTTAATCCATTCAAGTGGATTAATGCACTGATTAGGTGAAGACTTTTATAACTGAATCATTTTACCTTTGAACTTTCTCACATTGTCTCACACATAAGCTTTTGGAGCACATTTCATGTCTAAACTATAACAGTCCCCCAGGCCAGTCTGTCAGATCAGAATTTCTGCATATAAGGTCCAAGAATCAGTCCTGTTTGCAGGTAACCCTGAGTTATTTTGAAGCACAATGAAATTTCACAGCAATGGATTTACTCTAAGAAAAGAAGTTGGAGAAGGAGCAATAAGGTAGCAGGAAAACTAGGGAAGAGCAGAATCCCACAGACTAATAAAGGAGAGGATTTCAGAGTTCTGGCAGTAGACAAGGTTGCTGTAGGGCTGTACTGGTCATTAGAAGTATAATGTGAATCACAAGTGGAATTGCAAATTTACTAAAAGCAATATTAAAAAGGTTAAAAAAAGGAGCAAGTGAAATTAATTATAGAAACATTATTTAACCCAAATGTCTAAAACATTAACATTTTAACATGTGATTAACATAGAAATTAATCATGTATGTTATATATTTTTTCATATTAAGTCTTG